ATCTGAATGTTATGCTTCAGCTATAAGGACAGTTCTATTTGAATATTACTGTCACTTTGATTGAAGCTGTTCTGACCCAGAGACACATATTCTTTTTCTGATCTCACACATTGGAAAACATGTTAGAAATTACTAGTATTTTTACTGCTATGTAAACATTAAAATGTGGTGAGTGAAGAGGTTTTTTTACTAACATCTGTAATTTATCCTTTCATCGTGTTGTATTACATTTTTCTGCAATTACAGACAGAAATGTAAATTTCACTTTCATTTAAATTTTCATTTTTCTGCAGCTACACAGACATTGTAATTATTACCGTAACCATCTGCTAAAAAAAATAAAAAGTTAATTCTTTATCCTGATGAAAATAAAACTACCTTATAAACAAAAGCCTTCTAAATCCTTCTGTGCTGCCTCCTGGTAATGGAGGGGTGTTTCTGCCAAGTGATTATAATCCCATAAGAGTTCCCAAGGCGTGAAGCTCATCTCAGCAAAAGCTAGCAGGCATCTGTAATTCAGCAGCAATAGAGCAAGATACTGGAGGCACGTGATCACTTTAGTGGCAACAGCAAAGGCATCATTTCCTACTATATTAAGAAAACCATATGAATGTCTTAGACATCAGTGAACTGAAATAGATTGCAATTGAACATTTTTCAGTCAGAAGAGAACAGTTTTTATGTCAAACTCCCAAGCAGGCCAAACAGTTAAAATAACAAGATGAGCAAAATCTTCTTTATTGTAAGGTTACAGTAACAACTTTCCAAACTGAATTGATGCTGCATGGAGCTACTTTTTATTGTTCAAAGTCCATTTGCAATTTCTGTGACAAATTTTACATTTGTAATAAGTGATTTCATTTATACAGAGCGAAAAATTAATGAGGGAATATCAAGAAAAAGTCAACAGACTTCAAAATCGACTAAATCAGGCAGAAGAGAGGGCAACTACAGCATCTCAACAGGTATCTAAACTTTTCCAATTAAATGAATAAAGAGGTCGGTCTTTATTTTTAAAAAAAGAGAAATATACTTTATGGAACAATGGTTACTGTAGCTGTTAAAATCAATGCATGTATTATATGCATATATGCATGATAAGGCCTTATTGATATAATTTTTGTACTTGAATTGATTTCACCTTTTTTATTAGTTTTTCTGTTATATTGAAATAAAGACAGAACATTTTAAAATGGATGTTTATACAGAACTAGAAGATGTCTGTCTAGAAACTCTGAATAGGTTTGAAGAACTAACATAAAATTATAACTTAAATCACCATGCAGAAATCTCAAAATTAGTACCAAATTATTTGTGAAAACAGGGTTACTTAGCACAACCATTCTTTCAAATCCATCAGTTTGAAAGGTAATTTGGTAGGTAAAATATAAGAATGCAATATAGAAACATTAAATACACTGGTCTCTTACAACTGGAGACTTCCGTATTATTTCACTTGCAGGATCAGATATGTATCCATAATTCATCATGGGATAAACAGGTAATGCTATTCAGAAGTTGGACCTTTAACCACTCTAATCACTGTAGCTGATATAAGTTGGAATCCACTTATATCTGAAAGGTCTTACGTTCCTCAGAAAATATTTCCCTCCTCTCACACAAGTAGGTAGAAGCTCTAAGTAAGCTATGTACTAACAAATTTGCAGGTCAGAGAACATTTAGTGTGTTCATAATAATGGTGACTGAAAAAAAATTCTCAATTTTACATAGGAAGAAAATAATTTCTGTAACATATTTATTTCTGGTTGTATTGTCATCTAATTTGTTTAAAAGGATCCAGTGAAGAAAGGAACTAATCATTGTGTGTTTAATTACAGCTCAGCGCCATAACATTGCAGAAGAAAAAGGCCGCCTACTTGATAGAGCAAAAAGAAATGTAAAGTAATATGTCCTTTCATAGTCTGTAAGTACAGGTTGCCTAAGAAAAGTACCTTTGGAGCCTTAGAATGTATCATGTAAAATGCTGTATCTTTTCCAGATACTTCATTGCTTTATAAAACAAATGTATTTTTTTCTATTCACAACAAACATTAAACAGACAGATGAGAAAATGTGTAAAAACATCTCTACAAAGTTTAGTTTTGAAAATTAGAATTGTATACTGTTGAATTGGATTTTTCTAATCTATACAATCGATTTACTAGTTATTTAACTTTCAGTTGTTGAATGTTCTATCTATTCAACCAATATTGCTGAATTGCTACTTAGCATCAATGTCCCTTACCTGTTTGAAAAGTAGATAGACTTGGTATATCAGATATACAATTAACAAAGTTATTCTTACTCGGCATTTAAATTACTGTAAAAGTAGAAATTCCATTTATAGCAATTCTTTAGCTGTCCATAACAATATTTAGGATGTTATCACATTGTCATATGGACTAAATTATCTACATTATCTTGGAAAGTCCATGATTTCTCAAGATAGAAAAGTCTAACGTATATTTCAAACTCCTTCTTTGGTTAGGTACAAGGAATACATGAAAAAGAAAAAAATATTTTGTTTAGAGCTAGATAAAATGTCAGACCGTGCAATGCTCAGAGAAATTGCAAAAAAAACCCGAGTTACATCTCTGACTCTACAGGCATCAGTTAGCATACTAAATGTTCATGACAGTACAATTAGAAAAAGACTGAACAAGTATGGTTTGTTTGGAAAGATTGTCAGGAGAAAGCTTCTTCTCATTAAAAAGAACATGACAGCACAACTTAGGCTTGCAAAGTTACATCTGAACAAATCACAAGACTTCTGAAACACTGTTCTTTGGACAGACCAGACCAAAGTGGAGATGTTTGGCCATAATGCAAGTGCCACATTTGGCAAAAACCAAATACTCCATATCAGCACAAACATCTCATACCAACCATCAAGCGTGGTGGAAAGGTGATGATTTCGGCTTGCTTTTTTAGCCATAAAACCTGGGCATCTTGCAGTCATTGAGTTGACCATGAACTCCTCTGAATACCAAGTATTCTAAGTAAAATGTGAGGCCCACTTTCCGACAGTTAAAGCTTGGCTGACATTAGATCATGCAACAAGACAATAATTCCAAGCACACCAGCAAATCTACAACAGAATGGCTGAAAAAAAAAAAGCAGGGTATTGCAATGGCCCAGTCAAGTCCAGACCTCAACTGAGTGCAATGCTGTAGTGGGACCTCAAGAGAGCTGTGCATAAACATGCCCACAAATCTCAATGAACTAAAGCAATGTTGTAAAGAAAAGTGGGACAATGATGTGAGAATCTGATAAAGTCATGCAGAAAACAATTACCCCAAGTTATTGCTACTACAGGTGGTTTTACAAGCTATTGAATCATGAGGTGTATTTAGTTTTTCATACATGCCTTCCATTTTGGCTTTCTTTTTGTAAAATAAATTATAGCATGGTGTAATAAGTCATGTGTTGTTCATTTGAGGTTGTGTTTTAACTACATGCTAAGGACCAGACGATTTTTATTATTTCCTGATACATAAAAGCATAGAATTCAAAGAGGGTGTTCTTTCTTTCTCATATGACTGTATGTACCTGGGACAAATGAGTTACATTGTTTTCTAATCCTTGAAAACTTAGTAATGGCAATTAGTCATAGGCCAACCAAGCTGTGATCTCATTCCAGCAACACTGAAAAAGCCATCTTTGTATTGGACCTGGAGTCTAAAAACTCAATATAAGGGTTTCAAAATATAGTATAGTTCAGGAACAAACATGCAATATATCTTTTTCCTTTGAAACCTAACCTGAAACCTCTCCAGTTTATCACTGCAATCCAGTGTATGCAAAGCAGCAAAATCCAACTCATTTCTCTTGGCCTGAATGGGCATGAATGGAAGTTAACAATATCAATTCTGTATATTTTAGAATATAACAGTAATAAGTTAATGTAATTTTTCATTTTATTGTTTGCTATCTGATTAAAAAAAAGAATATATTGTTGTCAAACTCAGATATCACACTAGAACACTTAAGTGTATTGCAAAATGTACAGCATTTATTCACATACAGACAAAGGCACAATTCTACTAAATATTTTAACAAAAAATACAGCCATCTTCAACTAGGTCTTTATAAATACTTCAAAAAGGGAGGAAAATAAATACAGGATTGGGCCATGTAATATAAAATAGTCATCTCTACATATACTTTATTTCTATTTGTTTTATCATCATGCACCTGTTTTCAAATTGGAGCAAAATGGACACCAAAGCTAGGCACATAGTGAAAAAATCCTCTGTACAAGGTTTTACAAATGTAGTAAGATCTTTTTACCCAATTTACGTAAAATAATCAAGATTTTGTACATATGAGACATACATTATCTTTCATTAGTTTAGACTGGCACATATGTGTATGGGTGTCCGGAAACAGACAGCATTCCAGTCAATATTACTAAAATGTTTATTACCCTATATTTCAATGTAGTACACCAAGATTTCTTGGGCAATCTGCATAAGTAAAATGTGGAGCTAACAAGAAATCTCCATTTTTATCAATGAAATGAATGTAGTGGTAGTAAAGAATATGGTTTTATTTATACATTTTCATGTACTGAGTGTTAAATATGGTATGAAACAGCTGGTCATACTGATTTTACCTACTTCTGTAGTTGGAAGTTGGGGGTAAGGGAAAAACACTATTTTTTCTTCTTTTGCTATTAATTTTTGGTTCAGCATTAATCAAAACATCAGAAAGCTTATTAACCTAAATACGGTGGGGAAAACAGATAAGGCATTCTTTCTGCACAAATGCTAACACTCCTAATAGTGCAAATGTAATCTGATACCTCTTTCAAAATTGATCATAACATTGAATAATGTTTATTTAACATCAAATTTACTTCTTCTATGGCTTGATGAAAAACTCCCTGTTGGGCAAGTTAACCAATATTATTTCACTTAAAACCTCACCTCAAACACTTATTGTATTAAATAATCAATTAATCACATCCCTCTTATATTTAACAAGAATATGCCTGCTTTTAAAGCAGCAAACCTTGCTATATACCTGTAATATATGGGTAGTTTAATCCAAAGCAACAAAGCCGTGTATATATATCTTACTTTCCAGTTGCTTTCTGAAATGGCATTTTAAAATGTTTAGAATTTAAAATCTTAACCTGCTTGTTAATTCTATCCATCCTGACTCAAAGGCAATGCATGGACTACTCTAATACAGCACTCTCTGTAGGAAGGAAATGGAGAATGTTCTTTTAAATTTGAATAATTTTCTTGACAATGAAGCAAGCTGCCAAAAAAAACAAAAACCTGCCTATATAAAGTTCTGTTAAAGCATTGGAACTCCAGTGTACCAATAGCCACCACTGGAATTACAGCTATTATATACACACTGAGCCTAAGATCAGAAAATGATGGTCTGATGAAATGTGACCATTTCACAACCTCCTCATTGTTCATGCATGAGTCCCCTTTCAGTTTCCCATTCAGTTCTAACCACAGCATCCGGGGATATCTGAATTTGATAGGCCAAGTTAATGGCCTTTCAAAGGCTGTATTTTTTTATTTTAATGAAGCCAATTACTCTTATGTTAAACTATGATTAGTACTAAGCTAGATACTGAAGGTGGAGGCAAAAGATAAGTGAGGGGAAAACTGAATTTGTAGCTTATCATAGCTACAATAATCTTGGGATTATTACCACTGCTTTAGAAGTAAATGGGGGATATGTTCTGATGCATGTTCCCAAGTTATAGAATCAGTGGATCAGTAATTTAGAATTCATGGGATCACGTACAATATTTCTCTATCCAAAAATTAGGACTGTAAGAAAACTGTACTTTATAAACCTCCTCAAACACAATATATTATTGATGATCAGTGACTTGCATAGCAAGATGAAACAGTAGCACTCTAGTTTTCAGCTGAAACCTCTGGAAGACTTGAGTCAAATTGCAACGTTCCAACTTTTGTTTTAAAACGTTGTTTTACTTGTAGTAAGTAAAAACTAATGATGATGAGTTGCCAAAACAAAATACCTACTGCTCCTTACATTTCTTGTAACTTCATTATCTCTGATATTGTTTATATCCAAGTTGAGTCCCAAAAGTTGTAATAGTCTAAAACTTCCTTTGTGTCTTACAAATGCACTCTGCTGAGTACACAAAATAAGCTAATAATCTGTTCACTTATTATTGCTGATGGCTTTTTCTCTCTAGTTATTGCAGTTTTAATGTTGTAATCAAAACACTCTTTTGTCAAATCTAATCCATACCATGAAGTCTTGTTGTTAAATTGGTTTGAATGTAAAGCACTACTCGCATCTTATTGCCTTACCATTTTTTTCAAAAAAATATACATATATATTTATTACATCCTTCTTTTTGTATTTAAAGTAACCCTTATGTGTTAGAAACTTGCATATCCCAACACATAATATTAGTGCATATAAAGAAAGGCTGATGACTACTGCCTTTGGAAATACAGTCCTATCTTCATGGCAAATTTCAAACATTTGTCTGCCATTGCTTCTCCCAAGTCTGATGATATGCTAAGAATTTTTCTATTGTAAAAATTCTCCCCCAGTTATAGATTTACAATTTGCAGTATATATCAGGGGTGTGGGTGTGTAGGAGAAACAAGACAGCCAACCCTGTTTTGCCACAGAGACACATTTAAGTCTATCTCACTTGAATTGTCTTTGTATTTCACATGGCAGGTACTAGCAGAATACAGCAAGCTTACAAACCTTTCTTTCAAAACAAGATCAAGTACTTTAAGACATAGGTACCCCTTCCCTTAATTTGAGAGAAGTAAATAATTTTCCTTAATTCTTTGTCTGGGTCCCTTCAGAATAGCACTGTATATATGCTGCAGTTACTGTTTTTATTCTGGGCAGCTTGGATTTACCCCTTATGGTATCTAGCTGTCCTGCAAATTCTTACCTGCTTGAAAAATTTTGTATCTAGAAACATTTGGAGTTAACAAAGGTTACAGCTGCCAAAATTCCCCTGAATTCTAATACAGCAAAAAAACGAGACTAGGATTTACTCTAAGCACAGCCTGAGGAGAGAGACCAGATTAGGATAAACGGTGTACCAAAATTTAATTCATTACTCTCTTACATATTAACAGCTTGTGCTTTTCAGGGACGGGAAAAGAAAAACCTCAGTGCTATCTGCATAAAGTAGGGTCTACCCACACAATCCAATTAACTTATCCTTCTTTTTAAAATGAGCATTCAGCATATTAATCAATTGGAAAACAATATTATTTTCTCAGATTTCTTTGAGACAATTGCAAATAATGTTCACACCTCACAGTCATGAGAATGGTGGAGGAAATACTCGTACTCAAGTGCACGTAAACAACTTTCTACAGCCTAGGGAAAATGTGTTCATTCTTGATAGATCTTGTAGTCGTAATTAAAACTCTTTTGTCCCACCAATAAATAGAAAAGAGTAGCTACTTTTTTTTTATCCAGGCTGGAGCTTCACTGGTTCCAGTGTTGCTATTCTGTATCACTCTCCAGTCAAGAGGCAAGAATACTTCTCCTAATAAAATCTGTCCTTCTAGGGAGAGAGCTATTTGATCCCAGCCTGCATTTCTTCTCAGACATCTCAGTTTCTGAATCACTCATCTCTGCATCCGGGGCATATCCATCATTCTCACTGTCCATTTTTAAGTTGCTTTTTGCCCTATCTTTAGGGGAAACTTGTCCGAGGGCCGAGTAAGAGAAATTAGAGTTTTGGCGGCATGCCTCCTCCTGCCCCTCTCCCTGCTGTTGCTTTTCTCCTTTCTTTGGAATTCGGAATCCTCCCCAATTTTTCACAGGGCTTCTGGGTGTTGTAGGCACTTTAACTGGACTCGGGTTATAATTTATTCTGAAAAAGGATCCATTGCATTTAGGCACCATATCCCTCCGGATTCCGGGTGCTGATCTGCCACTTGGGTGGTTCACGGCCCTTTTATTTTCTAACTGCCTCTGAAAGGATTCATTTGATTTCAGGGGCTTGTAGTTATGTTTGGGAGGTTTCTCCTTCAGTCCTACCTTTATCATGTCACAATGAGAATGATTGTCTCTTTTCTTGTGGTCTTCTGTTACAATCCCATTCTTCTGTTGTGCTGCTCCAAGTTGTGCTTCTGCAAAGGTTTTTTCAAAACTGAAAAAGCTATCAGAAGAAGCAAGACCCTCCCTTTGGCTGGGCTGCTTCAGCAACGGTTTGTTATTGTGCCTAGAATTTCTCCTCATTTGCTCTCTCTTCTCTGTTTTTTTCAGTGAATGACTTAACGACATGCCCATTTGTTTTCGGAAGAAAGCCGAATGCCATTTCAAATCCTCTATCTTAGGTGCATCTGGGCCCAATGGTGAACTGTTGAAGAGCACCAAATTTTCCATCGAGGAGAAAGAGGAAGGCATACCTGGAGAGACACCAATAAACATGTTAAAGTTGTTTTAAAATTACTCATCCAGTATTACCTTTAGTTAAAAACTTCCATTAGTTGTACTAAATTCTTACTGGAATGAATGGAATTTGAAAATGAATTTAATCCAAGACTCATTTTTCCTATTAATTTCAATAGGACTTACATTCAATTAATTTACTACAGCTACTACAGTACTTCATTACTCATGTAGGTAGTATAGCCAGTGCTAACATGGGGTATTAATTTCACATTATATTGTATCTTAGGTACCTAATCAGTTAAGTCAGTAGAAATAAATTAAGGTGTTTTAATGATAAGACTACTTTGGTGCACTAAATACTATCTTCATTATTTTTGCTTTTTACTTATTTTTGGCTCTCGCTCTCTCTCTCTCTTTTTTTTTTTAGAAAAACAAACAAATCTAAACTTGTTAACCAGTTTTAGTCCTGCCTGTGTTGTAGTAGGGTATGTGTAGCACTTTCCCTGCTACAGTAATGACAATATTGGTCAATTTTGGCACCTTTTGGCCTATATGCCTCAAGTGTTACCAAAACACAGTTTTATCTTAAGCATGCTCACACTATATGCTGAGTCTAAACTGCTTAAAGAGGGCTGTAAAGCACTGTGAAGCAGTATATAAGTCTTAGTGCTATTGCTATTTCCAGATTACCATGCATGCTATTGCCCTTATCCCACTGACTAGGATAGTGGTGGCGAACCTATGGCACGGGTGCCAGAGGCGGCACTCATTGAGCTCTCTGTGGGCACGTGCACCGTCGCCCCAGTCCCAGGCCTTCAGCTGGATTTTATAAAACCTTTTCGCTTTAGGCCTCCGCCACCGTGTACAAAAAAAAGAGGTTCAATCAATCAGTCAATTTCAACTTCTCGTGGGAAAAAAAAGATCTTGCAAAGTTGGAATTGATTGATTGAACTTTTTAGTCCCACCCAGTCTGCTGTTACCACCCAGCCACACCCACCCAATGGGCCACACCCACCCGGCACCCGACAATGCATAAGTGGGTTTTGGGTTGCAGTTTGGGCACTCGGTCTCTAAAAGGTTCGCCATCACTGGACTAGGAAGTAAGTACTAAGTACTAACAAATACTTTGAATGCATCTATATGGAGGGAAGTGTGTAGTGGGCGCCTCAAGGCTCTCTTTTGGGCCCAGTACTCTTCAACATCTTCATCAATGATTTGGAGGAAGGGATAGATGGGGAACTCATCAATTTTGCAGATGACACCAAGCTGGCAGGAATAGCCAACACTCCAGAAGATAGGCTTAAGATACAGGAGGATCTTGACAGACTTGAACATTGGGCACTATCTAACAAAATGAAATTCAATGGTGAAAAAAGTAAAGTTCTACATTTAGGTAAGGAAAAACCAAATGCACAGGTATAATATAGGTGGTACCTTGCTCAATAGTAGTAACTGTGAAAGGGATCTCGGAGTCTTAATTGACAAACACTGAAATATGAACCAGCAGTGTGCTGCAGCTGCCATAAAAGCCAACATAGTGCTAGGATGCATTAACAGAGGGATAGAATCAAGATCATGTGAAGTGTCAATACCACTTTACAATGTCTTGGTAAGGCCACACTAGGAATACTGCATCCAGTTTTGGTCACCACTGTGTAAAAAAGATGTTGGGACTCTAGAAAGAGTACAGAGAAGAGCAACAAAGATGATTAGGGACTGGAGGCTAAAACATGTAAGGAACGGTCGCTGGAATTGGGTATGTCTAGTGTCAAGCAAGAACATCCGATGTTAGCTTGACATCTAGTTTAATGAAGAGAAGGACAAGGGGGGACATGATAGCAGTATTTCAATATCTCAGGGGCTGCCACAAAGAAGAGGGAGTCAAGCTATTCTCCAAAGCACCTGAAGGCAGGATAAGAAGCAACAGATGGAAACTATCCAAAGAGAGAAGCAACCTAGAACTAAGGAGAAATTTTCTGATAGTTAGAACAATTAATCAGTGGAACAACCTGCCTCCAGAAGCTGTGAATGCTCCAACACTTGACGTTTTTAAGAAGAGACTGGACAGGCATTTATCTGAAATGGTATAGGGTTTCCTGCCTGAGCAGAGAGTTGGACTAGATGACCTCCCAGGTCCCTTCCAACTTTATTATTATCATTAATTTAGTGTTGCTAAAGGCAATATATAAAGATAAATAGTGTAAGAACAGGGGGAAAGAAAGGATAGTTAGCACAGATACAAAGATATGGAAAGCTACAGCATGTATTTGTATATATTATCTGCGTGTCAGTTCTAAAGCATGCAAATGCAAGTAGATAAATAAGTACCACTTCAGTGGGAAATAGTGTTTTATATGCTTCAGGGTATAGTCATGCCAGTCACTTGACCACAAAAGTGTCTTCAGACAGCTAGGAAACGTACATAAGCACTGCCCCCTAGAGTAGGACACAACTGGACAAGGAAAATCTTTACCTTTTTTATGGCATGCTTTTAATTTCTTTGGCTTATTACTTCTTAACGTCTTTTCTATGCTCTGCCTGAGATAAATAATATGATGTATATGTAGGTAAACATGGTTTTAAATAGTCAATTGTAAAACACAATGTTTAGATGTTAGGTATTTGGAAACATCTTTCCATTTGCTTTTAAGTACTGTTAGTTGCAGTGCGTTTAAAATCTGCTGAAATTCAGTCATTATTAAAATGACAGAATTTCATATGAAAGAGCACCAATAACTTTGTCAATATTTTCATTAATGGTAGGAATTTTTCTCCTTTGGGAAAAAAACCTCAATATCTTTAATATTTGCCTTCTAATATCAAGAGAAATCTCCATTTCAAAATTTAGAACCTTATCCCGTGCTAAAGTAATAAAATATAAGAGAATGAAGTATGACACTATTCTTTAGGTTTCTGACCAACATATGTTAAGAAAAGCGTTTACTAATTTCTACTCTTGATTAGCAAACTTTTTGCAATCAAAAATCCTGAAAAATGAAGCGTAGAGTTGTATGAAATCTTCTACTAATATTTAAATGGATACTATATGTACACAAACACTTGCAGGCTATCAAGTTATCTGCAAATTTCTGGGTCTGAATATATTCACTGCCAGTATGTAGTCTCCTCAGAATACATGGTCTTTGACAGAAATAAGGTTCCCAAATCTGCTTATACTAAATTAGAATTTGCTAGGTGAAGTAATGTTGTTGCATGGATGTGAAAAGTGGCAACTTGCAGGTATTACAACTTTCAAAAGGAAGCAAAAATAAGAAATGAGACTATAAAACAGCAGCAAACTATCTAAACAGCCATAATAACAATACTGTATTTTTGTAAATATTTGCAATGGCTATACTTTTAGAGAATTCTTTTCCAAGGATATAAAAATATAAATCAATAAATTCCTTAAAGTGGCAGCAAAGATAATCCATGCAATCTTTTTACACCTGAGGGCAATGGTGGAAAACTGGGTAGGAAAAAAATATTTTTGAATTAATTAAAATTTAATGTATGTACTTAAAGACAATCAAATCAAAATTTTATTATGGTCACAGGCTAGCATAAAGAAAATTAATGTCATTATTTCCCATTTATTTGTCCTTTTATATCAAGAAGGGGCACAAAACATGAGCATTACAGCATTAATTTTAATTCCAGATCATTTGACAGTGTTTTTCCAATGCCATTCTCTGAAAAATAAGAGAAAATGACAAAACTTACCTGAAGTTCTTTCATGTTCTACAAGATTTGTATAAAGATTAAATATCTGTTCCTGGACTTTGCAAACAGATCTTTTAATTTTTTCCCGTCGGGTCACCATATAAGTGAGGTTCCGTACCTAGAAACATTGAAAATACTGGTAATATGAAGAATGCATAAAGGAAGTTTAAGATTATTTTGAAGTTGTTTGAAAAAAAATAGTGGCTCATCTGGAAACCTCTTTATAGTGAGACAAAGAAAAAAAATTGAAGTAAAGAAGCATCTTGGATGAAAAGCGAAACATTTTCAAGGAAAAAAAAACAAGGAAGTCCAGTTGTCTTTTGAAAAGCACCTTTAGGATAACCATGACCGGATGACTGAGAATCTCCATAGATCTTGGGGGGGGGGGGGAATCCTTTATTAAAAGGATTAAAAAGAGAAAGAATTTGGATAGAAAACCTTAAGACAGCATTAATGGCCTTCTTCTAAAAATGGTATCTTATCAATTCAGCCCTTTCAGTCTGGAGCCTAAGTACTCCCTAATTGCACGTATCTTTAAAGTCACTCAATAGTTAAGAGAAAGCATAAACACAGAAAAAAGAGATTTTACTTTCTGTATTTCAGTTTGAAGAACTAATATATAAAAAAAGCTCTTCCTGAAAGCAGGTGTGTAATATTCATATTCAAAGCTGGAAACTTGTTTTGGACCTGGCATAGATATCCTCATTCTACCTCCAGCTGAAACTTTAAAGAAACTGTAAATTTTTCTGGTCTCAACACTGTAATCAGGAGTTAAGGAGACCTATGATCAGCAATCAACTTTCATACCAATTTCATCTTCTGACCAATGGAAGGAAGTTCTCCGGCAAGGCTGAGCAATGATTATCAAAGTTTCAGTCACATTCATTCTAATAGCTTCTACTAAGTCACAGGAACCCTCAGTGAAGGGAAAGAGTCATGTTTGTAAAAGACTGGAAAAGTATGTCCAATTTTGCTTTAGAATTAAAAGTGATATACATTCAATATTTTGCAAAAGAATTAATGAATCTCTTCAATCAGGCATTTTATAATTGGGGCATCTTGAATATATATCAGTACATTACACATACTGTACTTCCTAGTTAATGGAATGCAGTCAAATGTTATGTTGGATTTTTAGGTAGTCTCTAGATTAGAAATCCTACCTGCACAGAATAGCAAGAACATGCCTATACTAAAAATAAAATCCGATTGGACTTGTGGTACACCAGCCATAATGTACCTAAATTGTACTATCCTTACCATTAGCAGAGAATATCGTATGTTGCAGGGATATAACTAAACCAGGTAACCTAGTCTATGCTCCATCACTTAATAAAAAGGTTATGTTAAAGCCTTGGTTGATGGGTGGTGGAGACAAGTATATACAAAGTCCATCTGGTGACAACCGGGTAGACAGAATACATAAAACTGCAACTTGAAATCTAAGAGGAGTAAATAGGGAAAAGAAGTCAAAGAAGTGGGGAAAACGTAATTGAAGAATGTCATGTATAAATGTGCTTCTTGTCTGCTTTGTTATACAGAAGTGAAAACTATATGTTAGGAGAAACATGCAAGCTGAATGTAGTGAAAATGCGCTATTGACAAAATGTGTTCTTAAAATAAGAGATAGGGTAAAGAAAGAAGGATAAAGTGAATTTGTTGATAAGAGTAAGAAGACTGAGGAGGTTGTGTTGGGTAGAGTTGCTGAGATCCTCAAAACAAAAAGTTTAGCAGTTAAATGTACAAATGCCATAATTGCAAACAGCAATGGTATACGTTTTTAAAAAAAAACAATCTCTTATTCCCTATCTATCTGAATGGGACCCATGCTTCTTAAATTCCCAGATTGAAGTCCAAACAGAAGCACATGCAGGGATCAAATATCAAATGCACAGAACCTAAGAAGTTACTTTAATCAACATGAGCATAAGGAATGTTACATTTAGATCAGTGTTCCACCCCTCTTCAAGAACAGAGTTAACTTACCCTCTCCAAATCTTGCCGGAGGTGAGTGAAAAGCTGTAGTCGCCTGAACAGAACGTCCTGTTCCCGTTTGGCTAGATTGTCCTCTTCATCTTTCTTTGGAGTAATCAAAGGTTTGTTGAAATTTGATTTTCTCTTCAATTTCCAATACTGATACAGGAATTCTACAGAGTCCTCGGGAAGTTGCAGAGCCTTTGCCACTTCTGAAGCATTAACAAAGGCATAAAACCCATCCTCCAGTTGCTGGAGTTTCTGCTTTCTAATACTGACTCGATGAGCTTCCTCCTGATTTTGAGCCATGCTATCATATGATTCTAAGTGACCCAGAGAATTATCATGTGCTCCATTCTCATTTTCCTGGCTGGTTAATTCACTGAGGTTTTCCTCATCTGACTTCTTAGTAGAGCTGTGTTTTGGACAATAGGATTTGAACTTGACTTCATCGTTGTCAGCCAGAATAGTCTTCATCTCCAAACCACGGTCAAATGCACAAGTGACATGAAAAGCTGTGCGGCAGTTTTTTACTGAACACTGCAGAAAAAAATATAAATGTTAAGTATTTAAATATGTAGATTGTGAACCCTATGTTAGGGCTTCCCCAGATCCAAGCTTTGGACATAATAGAATATTAGAACAGCAATTCCGAATTGGGCCTAGAGCCCATATTGTCCAGTGTTATCTGCTCTATAGTCAGGAAGCTAAATCACGAACAGGAAGTGACAATAGCCGATTCATGAATTACTATATAATCATTAAAAGAGTGATAGTTTAATTTATACAGGTAGTAACTGACTTAGGACCAGTTGCTTAGTGACCATTCAAAGTTATGATGAACTTCCCCAGGGTACTTATGATCCAGCTCCGAAGGCCTGAAGGCCTCTCCCCGTAACTGTGTTTCAGGCACACAGTAACCAGCCTGTCTTTACAGCCGTCTGCAGCATCCCATAGTTACATGACCTTCTTTTACAATGGTTTTGCCAAAAACTGGCATTTATTTCTGGTTTTCGGCAAAAATGATCCATAGCAAACAATTTAACAACCACAGTGTTTGCAGTGTTTACAGTTGTAAGTTGAGGTCTACCTGTAATGAATCTGTCCATTATTTTTATTGGTCCTAGTCAATATCTACCTTTGTCAAAACAACCAATATATTATATATAAAAATGATCAAATTACTAATGTAAATACTGTAGTCTAAAGGAATTTTTGCCATAGCATATCATGGCAATATAACCAAGTATCTCTTGGTTATAACAGACGGTATAACCAAGTATTTTTATTTCCCATTCACAAGATACACTGGAGTTGTGTTGGCATAACATAAGGTGATTTATAAATCTAGGATGAAGATCAACATGTTTACTCCCCAACAGTTATGAAAAATATGCAGCACTGTGAATCCATAGCCAGAAAGGAACTGGAATCCACATCATTTTCTAGGCTTGCTTAGTACCCATGCAACACAAGAAAATATGTAATTGTTTTAAGGAAGCAGCAAGAGTGAGACCACACGTACACTGAAATACTTCTCTTGGTTCTTGATTCAAAATGCTGCATATCTCTACTAATGCCGTACTTTACCTACATTAGGATACACTTGTTTCACTAAAGTGTGGATAATACCATCATTGGTCTTGTTAGAATATTAGAAATGCTATAGTGATTTTACCAAGACCAGCACACTATTAACAGAAATAAGCTTCATGGCTTAAAAGATCCAGTAACAGATTATTTTAAGCAGCCTGTCTTGATAATTTGAAAATATGGAATGGTTTGAATTCAAAACATTTTGCACACACCTATTTATTGAAACCTCAATTTTTAAAGCAATTATCAAAAGTTTAAAAAGGATAAATCATATTCATGATTTACAGGTGTGTATATGTTTGTGTGTATGTGCGTGTGTATGTGCGTGTGTGTGTCAACAAGAGCTATCAGAAATTTAGGGGAAAAATAAGATGCTCAAGATGGTATTTTTTTCAAGTATACTAACCAAAAATACAATGCAGATAAAATTCTCTCCCTGCTATGTAACTAAAAACTCACAAAACAAGTACAGGTCTACTAAAACTTAATATTTATTAATTAATGTACTGGGTATCTATTATATGTCTGCGAATCATATTATGCACATTTAATTTAAACTTCCCTTGGAAGGAGACATTACTAAACAAAGCCTTTGGCAAAGCACTTAAAAATCTGTGCTGAATTCAATGTCAAATCTCTGGCATATCAATGATTTAGAGCTAGAGAGAAAAACAATGTAGGAGGCAGCATGATATAAACACATACAGCAATTCTAACACATATCCTTAGGATCCAGAGCCAAATTATATCTGGTTGGTAGCTATGGGCAATTCACTTAAAAACATTCACAGTTTTCTCTGTATGAAAAGACAGGGAATACTTATCAGTTTTATTTGTATATTTTTCTCTGAATAAAAGTTGTGGTCACCCAGTGTTTAACTCATAGGTTGTTTAGTGTATACTCTGTAAGCAGGTTAGCTCAGTATTCTGGTTAGCAGTACTTTTGTGTTTAGACATAAAATATTAATGTTATAATATCCAAGTGCTGCAAAGCAATTCCTGTGTACTAATACATATTTTATGCATAAACATAGAATTGCTAACTGAACAGTGAGTTAAAATGTACAATATTTTTAAATCACAATAAAAAAGACTACCATTCCCTATGTAGGAAGCGGAAGAGCTAAGTGGGAGGAGGTAAAATTTATAACTAGGAGACCTTCTCATGGTTGTTCATGTCCTACCGTGTTTCTCCAAAAGTAAGACCTACCCCGAAAATAAGACCTAGTTTGATTTTGGGGGGTGGGCCTAATATAAGTGCTACCCCAAAAATAAGCCCTAGTTTTGGGTCCAGGCGCACCACCTAAAAATCAAGCTAGGGCGGGGTTGGAGCTTACCATTGCACTTAGGCCTCTCATGGATCGACACTTGCTTCACCGACCCACTTCTTCTGCAGCCGAAGGAGTAGCTTCATTCTGCAGCTAAGAATGGAGCTCGGGCCTGCATTTGGCAGTCAAAGGCCTTTCCGGAAGGCCTGTGCAGCCGAGAACTGAGCTATGGATTCAATCTGTACCTTGGTTCTCGGCTCCACAGGCCTTCTGGAAAGGCCTCTGACGGCGAAATACAGGCCCAAGCTCCATTCTCAGCTGCAGAATGAAGCTGCTTCTTCAGCCGCAGAAGAAGTGGGCTGGCTGCACGGAGCTACCGGTGCCGCCGCCATGAGGTGAGTGTAAAAGAACCCCCCCCCCCCGAAAATAAAACCTGGTGCCTCTTTTGGAAGCAAAAAAAATAATAAAAATAAGACCGGATCTTATTTTCGGGAAAACATGGCAATTACTTCCCTAAGAAGACAATTATATAAATTAATAAATGTATGAGAGAGAATGGCAGAGCCAGGGGGAGCAGTCAAGTGAGGAATCAGTTTAGAATCTCCACATAGTCATGAGAGACGGAAGTCAAATTCCCCTTCAATGCCACTGAACTTTATCTAGTTTTATCCATGTGCGAACTATTAGATCTGAGAAGATTCCTGTACATAGGCTTAACAATAAATCAGTAATTTTGAATCTTTCACTATGCAGACCTGATTGTTTGTACCTGACATTAATTTTCTCAGACTCCCAATCTTTTTCCCAAAAAGCAAAGGCAACTATCATTATGGCAACTAAGCCCCAAGAAAGAGAATTGGGCGACCAAGGTGTGCTGTGCTTTGGGGTCAGGATGGACTAGAGAATGAAGTGTGCAATTTGACAACGTAAGTACTTCAACTGGTACAACAGATGCAGAATCTGGCACAGCCAGCACCACCGATTGCTCTGGCACCAGCAGCAGCTCCAGTAGTCCAACCAGTGTTGCAAGAAGCCATGAAAAACTTGGAGGTGAATCAAAAATGATGAAAACTTTCATAGTGCAGTGAGAGTTGTATATGGGAATTCAAGGTGCACAATTCCCAACTAACTGCTCATATGTGTCTTTTGTGCTGATCTTGCTGACTGTGTCAGTAGCTCAATAGGCATTTCTGATTACTGAAGGCAATGACCTGATTATGGACAATTACCAGACTTCATGGACAACTTCAGTAGGCACTTCAGAGATTTGATAAAATGAGTAAGAGATCCACATTATCCAGAACTTAAACAGGGTAATAGAAGGGTTAGACCAGGGGTAGGCAACCTTGGCTCTTTTATGACTCGTGGACTTCAACTCCCAGAATACCTAAGCCAGCCATGCTGAGGGTAAAGGGAGAGGTTTCCATGCTGAGCTATGCTGGCTCAGGAATTCTGGGAGTTGAAGTCCACAAGTCATAAAAGAGCCAAGGTTGCCTACTCCTGGGTTAGACTGTATATATTGTAGCAGAATTCAAATAAATCACTGAAGACTTACATTAGAACAAAATAGCTCTAATTTCTCAATTTAGACAAGGACTGAATGCTCAAATCGACACTAAGCTCATATGGCAAGGAGTGACACAGAATCTGGACCAAATCTGCAACCTTTTCTGTGATCATTGACTCTCATCTGGAAGAGATTCAAAGCCAGTTTGGGCAGCAGATAGAGCTCACTATTCAACCTTCTGCACATTGATGCCAATGGAACCAAGTTGGGGGAAAGAAGAACCCATGCAAATAGGAACAGCAGGGAGAATGGCAACTGCTGAAGAAAGAGGCACAGAGATTTAGCATTCTTTTTAGTGTGGAGAATCTGGGCATACAGTGCCTGACCAGAGCCCCAGAAGAATGGAAAGCCCTCCTGGCCAGGATGCGGGAGTGTGCCGCATTAAGTGCAGAGTCCAAGCCCAGGGAAACAACAACAGGGCCTCTCTCAAGAGCAGGGGTGTCAAACTCAATTTCATTGAGGGCCGCATCAGCATTGCGGTTGCCCTCGGGGGAGGGTGTGGCCAGGGTGGGTGTGGCCTACTGGGTGGGTGTGGACGGAGTAGGTGTGGCCTATTGGGTGGGCATGGCCAGCTCTACATCATTTGCGTCAAGAGTGCCTTTGGGGGCCTGAGCATGAGTGGGACAGATCTGAGGGTCTCTGGCAGAAGGGGGTGGGACCAGGGCAAGTGCCAAGGCATGGTCCACTGGAGGAGCCTCGCCATTCTTCTCAGGCCATGCGGGGGGCTGGATGGTGTTGCGGGCTGCCCGGAGCCCTGGGAAGCAGAGGTCAAACGCCCAGCCTGGCCCTCGAGCACCCACGGCACCACTTCCCCAAGGGGGCGCCCAGCTGCACTTATCTCCTCCTCAAGGCTGCTGCTGCTGTGCTTGCTCTCCTTAGCCAGATTGCTCATGATGGGTACGAGGGCAAAGTCAAAGGGAGGCCCATTCCCTATCCATGGGAGGAGACCCGGCTTTGTATCCAAAGCTTCCTTAGCAATAGGATGGGAGACCCCCTGGGATAGGCCAGGAGGAGGGGGCAAGGAGATGGTGAAAGGGCAGCAGGGCAGGACTAAGGCAGGACTTCCCTCAGACCCTTCCTTTCCTTCTTTCCTTTCTTCCTTCCTAAGTACAGAGTGGTGGGAAAATATTTGAGATGAGGGAGGGAGAAAAACAGGCAAGAAACGCAGCTGGGGAGGTGTTACCTTCGTGAGGAATGAAGAACTGCACCATCGCCGGGAAGTGGCCAGCACATGGCCCTCACCTACTTCACATATCTGGCTTGGTGGGCTCTAGGAGAGGGGATGCTATGAGCATGAGAGTCAACGTTACCTGCGCAATGCTGCCCAGCCCCCAGCCTGCCCGGTTTCGGCAGGCAGCGGAGCGCTCTCCTCACAGTGCCGAGAGGTTGAGCCGGGTGGTGCGAAGCTCGCCAGCTTTGTACCTTGCTGCATGCTGAAACTGGGCAGGCTGGGGGCTAGGCAGCATTGCACTTCTCATCACTTTCGCGCCACCTGGCTCAGTTCTTGGCGCTGTGAGGGGAGCGCTGCCTGCCGAAACCCCTTCCCTGGAGCCCATCAAGCTGGATATATAAAGTAGGCGAGGGCCATTTGCTGGCCACTTCCAGGTGATGGTGCATTTCTTCATTCCTCACAATGGGTGACACCTCCCCAGCATGCACCCAGAGTGCGGGGCCGATGCGGCAGGGGCTGGTTCCTTGCTGTTTCCAGACAGTCTTGTGGAGCTAAGACTGAATGCGTTTCAGCATAGATGGCCACCACAAAATTGTACATTGGCTTCCGGCCGGCCTGGGCCAGGGCCAAAAGGCAGCGGAGGGCTGTTCCCTCACTGTTTCCAGGATGGCTTCGCAGGCCGCATCCGGCCCCCGGGCCTTGTGTTTGACATGTCTGCTCAAGAGCTTGCAGGAGGGCTCAACGTATCTAAATCAAGGTATGTTGCTCTGTTACTTTGATTTTATCACACAGGCAAGAATATTTGAAAGAGCCACTTCGCTATCCTTCTGCATTAGACAGGGCAATTGGGAGACCTCCCATAGTCACTCATGACTTTCCTAAGTGGACAGCTGTAAAAATCATTAAACTTTCCAGAACAACATTTTGAGATTTCCCAGATCTTGTCCAAATCCCAAACATAAAATGCACTTGTCTCATTCTTAGAACAAATTCGTCTTAATTTCTACTTCGGTCTAAAGCTGCTACAATAGCAATTAATCTACTTCCTTGATGACCATGCATATTTATTCAGAATTTTGAATCCTACTAGAAATCACATTCAACTAAGAAGCATAATCTTGGGCAACACAGTTTGATGGAATAATATATTGATGATCTCCTAATCATTTGCTCTCTGAAGTCTGAAAATCAAATATGTTAACTATGAGATATTTATGTTATCACTAATAATTAATCTGCTACACAGAAATTTTATGCTGTAAATGAACACAAAGACCAGACAGGCTTCTGAAGATCATTTTCAGAAATCAAATTAAAAGAACTCTGGCCAAAACAAGCAAAAATGGCAATCTGAAATGAATCAGTGACTAGTCAGTTTTCACTGAACCTCCTCAATTAGAAATGTAGTAAAGTGCTCGGTATTTTCCATTTAACCTTACATCCAGTCACACTAGATTTTTTTTTAAAAAACCATTTATCTGTGCCTACTAAATTAGACATAGATTAAGTTATATATAGCTAAGTAAGCTGCAAATTCAGTGAATAATACAGGGAACTCTGAACAAAGAGGGACAAAATGATTTCAAAAGCAAATAATTATGAGACGAATGGTAATAAAAAAAACCTAACAATCAGATGGCAAGCATAACTGGCATACAGACAAGAAAACTCTGAACAAGCTCCAAGAAGCCAAGAGAAAGAAGATATGACACAGCACACAAAGGAGTATTAACAAAGAGAAAGCAAGGAGGAGATTGGAAATTATTAAAATATTATTATTTTTCCTAAGCAAAACAGATGTCAAAGACAATGGCAATTTCAAAAGCCATCTAAAAAAAGGTTAAAACACAACATAGTTTGATTTATAACCATCAAAGAGTTCACACTGAACACAGATTTAATAGTATGGCAATGAGGTTCTCGAACACAATGCAGACAAGTCCAAATGTGTGTATCTAAATAAAAATCCAAAATTAATGTAGTAAAATTAATGCATGTAATGTCCCAATTGTTGTATCTGCACTGCCAATGTCAGTGCTCATTCTATAATTTATTTTATGAAAGTAGTAAGGATATAACATGTGAAGATCACTATAAAAGTTAGATAAAGAAGTTTGCCAAGTTTTTGTAATGTTTACAATTTCTCAGAATACCTAAGAAGAGCTATTTACCTGTATGGATGCCCCAATCTTCTCATTACAAAGACTGCACACCAGCGCCCATCTGCTGCTGGGAATATGAGAGACCTTTGTAATGGGCTCCATCTTTTCTGGACTACCAATGCTCACCTAAGAATAATTGAAAAAAATACGTATTTAAAAAACCAAACAGCAGCTGAAGTATAACTATCCTCGACTTACTGACCTTCAGATTATCCCATCAGACCAGTATTTCTAGATATGTATTACTTTATCAAACTATACCCACATTAAAAAAATTCTTAAGGATTGGAAATAAATTGATTTCATTTTTATCCGGCCCTTCCTCCCAAGTTACAGCAATAAACAAAATTCTTCACACATACAATTTTGGCCTCGTAACAAACAGTGAGATAGTAACTGGCAGGAGATGAAGAATGGAATGTGAACTGAGTAGGAATTTGAACTTGTTATCCTCTGGCTAAATCGAAAACAAATTGCCTACTGAAGCCCAAGTTAATGTTTGATTAACAAGTTAAGCAAGCATCAGTGCATCTTTTCCCATATTCTTGTACTCTAATCATAAAGAAAAAGCATGCTATGTGGGTTTGTTTTTCTCCTGGCCTAAGGGAATCTTTCAAGTTATGTGCAAGACTCTTTTTTAATGATAGAATATTCTGATGTTCGCTGGAAATGTCATGTTTTTCTTCTAAAACTCTGAGAATGGAAGGAAAAATAAACAATCCAGAACATCCCTGAAATAGTTTGTTTTGCATGCAATTATGTATTTCTATATTCCATTAGCTTTCCATTTGCAATTGTTATAGAGTTACATTATGCCCCTTTCTTCTCCCTTATAAAACCAGGAAGATGGCAAATAAATCTCTTTCAATCATGGCTACAAAATCAGTCATTAACTAGAATTGGTTCCACTTGCTAACAATGTTCATACAGTCTACTAAAATGTTAGAAAACTCTTTAATGGCCAGATATGCCTCTGCATCTCATAAGCAACCTCCTATTACCTATCTCCTACTATTACATGGTAATGTTCAAATTCAAACTATTTCAAATTAAAAACACTCCATTTCAAGTCTGAACTTTTTTGTTTTGAGTGAAAGCTGTTTCATGTTTGAAAAAGGCTGTTTCAATCATTCTGGAAATGTACCTAACTTAAAACAGCTCTACTGATTTCAAATACAGTTACACGGTGATCAAATTTGTCTACTTTGGATCTAAAAAGAACCGATCCAAAAGCAAAACAATTTTTTTAAGTTCAAAATCAAACACATTATCAATTGTAACACTGTCTGCCATGATAACCAGTGGCACCAATATAGTTCCCATTACTAGCCATAAAGTGTATGTATGAACCAATCTGCCACTCTGAACAAAGACAGAAAAAAACCCTTGAAACACCAACCTCTGGGATCCAGAGGGCACAACTAACATGGACCCACTTGGTCCCACTGCGAGTTGGTTTCATGGCTCCACCTTTTTTGGGACACAACAAACATTTTGGCTGGACACCAAGGGCACAGGTTCGGCATAGCCAGCTGCCTTCAGGAACTTTCAGGATGCCGTAACATGCCTGAAAAGAGAAGTTAGCAGACAGGTATAAACAGGACACTTCATTTGTAGCAGCTTATTGTTAATAGTTTTAAGTATTTATTGTCTTCCTCATTATCCAATAATTGAGTTGAGAAGCTAAAATTGCAAATGAATAGGTGAAGCTGATGAATATTAGTTTATGTCTACAAGAATATGGCTCATGACAACAAATTTGAATTCTACTGATAACACATTTAGGCTAATACTAAGATTGCCTTCATATCTTTGGTTTTATTATGTTTCCATTTCTGCAAACCTAATGAAGTTTGTTTCTTTTTAAAAATCAAACAAAAAGAAATAATCTAACAAAACAAGCAAAGCCCATTCTCTGGATCATGGTTGAATACTTTTATGAATTCATATGATTACCTTGCTGCTAAAATGGCTTCTGAGTGGCTTAAACTCAATGTAACTGTGGGGTATCAGCTGAATTAAAGCTTCTCAAATTTATCTACTGGACCACAGCCAAGATGACTGTGATGTTAATTGCAGACATACATTCTCAACCACAAAGAAGCAAATTTTAGTAATCATGGTACTCTGGCCATGTTTATAACTGCTTCTAAGTTCACAAAGCTATGAAATAGACCAAACAATGTGTAATAGAAGAAGCTAAAAGAGAAACTGAAGATCTATCCTAGCCAGCTGTGCTACCAAAGGGAAAGCAGATTGTATATGAATAATGATTATTTCAACTGGAGTTAAGCCAACATTTTATTAACTAAAATAAAATCCTAAAACATATCTGTGTCCTACTTGAAAGATGAGAACAATTTTAGAACAAGGGTAAAAAAAAAAAAAAAACCTCCCTCGCCGCACAAAAAAAGAGGAGAAAGGAGGTTTTCCAAAAAAACCCAAATGCAGCTTCTCTGGACCTGGCTGAGCTCCTGCCTCAAGAAAAAGATGCAGCTATGACATTAATTATTCTTCTGGCAACCGATATGGCGTTCCTAGAAAGGCCATTGCTTCTGATGTTTTTAATCTTTTGTGGTTCAATATAATTTAAATAGCAGTTAGAATGACTGCCAGTTGATCAATAATTTTAAATGTATAAAATGCTCAAAATCAGCTCAAACATAAAAATGCCCTTTTCTCTGGCTTATCATAATTTACTGACAAACCCACTCAGTTTTTTAAAAAAAAGAAATCTGGAGAATAAATACACACATAGTGTTTTTCTTCCTCAACAGGAAACAACTCATAGAAATGTTGATTAATATTAATATATTAATATTGGGCCAGTCACTTTTTCTCAGCCCAACCCACCTCACAGGATTGTTGTAGGGAAAACAGGAAGATATGTCACCTTGAGTTGTTTGTAAAAATAAAGGTGAGAAATAAACAAACAAACAAATAAAAATCTAACTATCCACAATTCTTCTTTGAAGAAGAAATGTGCAATTTTTAAGAACAGAATTTTGCATGGTGTGCTGGGGACTACATTTAAAAGGAAGTAGAGTTAAAAAAAAAGAGCAAGGACAATATTTAAATGTAATCTACATTACTCCTATTAATATATTATTTTTGTTGCATTAAAAATAATAATTGGTGGGGACTTTCATAGAATTTGGGGCCTGTATCCAAAGTCCTCAACTGTCAAAACAAACCTGGGATCTAAGATTATACTCATCTGTTTTAACAGAAACGTAAATACACACACTATCTTTTACATAAAGTATAACTACACTCTGATTATTTCTTACAGATGGGCTGAGCTAAGTTCACCTATGTAATCCATCCTCCACATAGAGATGCATAACCTTTTCCAAATGGTGAAGCATATTTCTACCTTGGGAGGAGAAGTCTGAAACTGTTCTCAATGCCTAAAAGGAGACAGATCAAAACTCTTCTCTCACTTTGGAATGCTTACAAAAATGCAACAAAATGGTAGATTTACAGGCAAGAATATGTTGAAGCTAAATGGACAGCAACTGAACAAACCTAAGAGGTCAAACATTCAAAATAAAACAAAAACAAAAAATATACATGAAACCAGATATAGCATTTAAAACTCAGAATGCAAATGAAAAAATGCAGCAGTAACACCAACATTCCAAGTAGGAATTTGTGTTAATGGTATTTTCCAACAAAATGCTACTAATCTTCATAGTTAGTAACTCAAAATCTTAAGACACACTGGTCACTAAGCCTCACACAGCACTATGGAACTTCTAATAGCCATGAATAAAAGGTAAAATGCATTCCTGATGATTTCATGGACAGTTTCTTGTAATTTTCCTGTCAGCAAAACAGAAGCAGCTTTCCACTGGCTTCTTCTGGAATGTTTATAGGTAGTTCTGTTTATAAACATTCGTTTAGCAACGGTTTGAAATTACAACGGCACTGAATAATGTGGCTTATGATCCATTCTCACACTTACGTGGCAGGATCAAAATTTGAGCACTTGTGGAAAAAAATTGTAAAATCGGGCACAACTCACTTCACGACACCTTGCTTAGCAACTGAGATTCTGGTCCCAACTGTGGTGATTAAATCGAGGACTATCTATACTCTATAACAGAGGTCTCCAACCTTTTGGGCACCAGGGACCAGTTCTGCTTAGAATATGCAAAATCCTTATTGCCTCATCACAGTGAAATTATACTAATCCCAATATTATTATTGTACATGGTGCTATACCTGATGAACACAAATATTGCATTTGTCACAGAACACCATTTCATTGCCATCTTCACCATCTGGAGACTGACAAACATCACAGACAACATCCTCATCATACTCGATGCCAAGACCTTCCTCAGTCTCGATAGCATGATTCATATTGTCGTAACACCGTTGCTCAAATTCTTCCATGATCCTCTCCATGGTGTATTCATCTACTTCAGGCATCCCTGGTTAATTTATATGACATTTAGTTTTCGTATTCATATTCTCTTTTACTTACCATCTAAGTTTAGCAATATAAACAATCAAATGAAATCAAAGTGAAAAGAAAAGGAAAGAAAAAACACTTAGGTTATATTTGATATTAACTACTGCCTTATCTTAATTGGTACAATCAATCTGACTATCACACAGACGGTTTCATGATGTGAGGATGAAAGTAAAAAGTGGGTATAAAAATTAACCATCTTCCCAAATGCACATAAAATTATGTTAGATTTATTAATTTGCCTTGAATCAAAAGGGAAAATGCATTTAAATAGGTGGATGTTAGCATATCTGCCAAATAACAGTGTGGATGAGACAATGTTGTGCCGGCCCTGAAAAATTCTTTCTTCAAGCTAGAGGAATTAAGGATGTTACTTTGCATGTACTTTGGGAATCTACATCTAGGACACTTCTAGAACTCTCTGTTGTGAATTTATTTTAAAAGTAATCCACACAAAGAAATGCCTAAAAAAATAGCTTTTATTCAAGACCACTTTGTCCCCAAAGGTGAGTAGATGTATCATTTAATTATGCTAGCATGTACTTGGTTCTTAGTGAAAATCAGATGTGATGGACTTTAAATTCTAATTCTCTATAGCCTATATGATCATTACCATCATGATGGAAGCTGCAGTCCAGCAATCAGTTGGAAAAGATAGGTCTATACTATGACTGTAAGTATCATTACATTAAGCTGTTACTTCTGTCTTGTAGCCATTCCAGCCTTGTGTAGATTTACAATCTTGTCCCTGACATTCTTGGACAGCTCTTTGGTCTTGGCCGTAAAGGAGAGTTTGGAATCTGATTTATTGATTGCTTCTGTGGACAGGTGTCTTTTATACAGGCAACAAGAGGGAGTGCTCCTAATCTCAGCTCGCTACCTGTATAAAAGACACCTGGGAGCCAGAAATCTTGGTGATTGATAGGAGATCAAATACTTATTTCACTCATTAAAATGCAAATCAATTTATAACTTTTTTGAAATGCGTTTTTCTGAATTTCTTTTGTTATTCTGTCTCTCACTGTTAAAATAAATCTATCACTAAAATTATAGACTGATCATTTCTTTGTCTGTGGGCAAATGTACAAAATCAGCAGGGAATCAAATAATTTTTTCCCTTACTGTATGCTTTCCCTTTTCCTGCAGACTTCCGATGAATCTCAAAAATCCTAACTTTTGAGTATATACCTGAGATGTTAACATCTAATAACACATTCAAATCCATCTCCCCATCCCACCCACATACAATTTATTTATAAGCAGTTTTTCTCCCTACCTCTTCCACCAAGAAAGTACAAATGAGCCCCATATAGTACACTGGTTAGTTCAGAAACCCTACCTCAACTCTTCCCTGTTACTTCTCTAACTTGGGGCTGTAACTGGAACTAGCACTTACCCATCTCTTTGAATTCTTCATTGGCCAATTCCAGCCATGCTACATCCATGTAGTTAAGGTCATAGCGGCACACACTCTCTGCCAAAGTTCGAATGTCAACATATCCAAGCTCAGGGGGCTCAGAGCCTGAAGACAGGATATATTTCCGAGGTCTTGAAAATACGACAGCTTTTGTTTCAGATACAATCCTGAAAGTGTAGCAAACTGGCGTTCAATGCAGTAATTCTTCTATAAGTACCAAAACCTCAGTCTTTCCATACTGCTACCGCGAAAGGCTTTGAATTATAATATATTCCACCATGCCCCAAACAAGAAAATACATTATGTCTAACTTTGCCATTCTACAAAGCTGATTTTTTTTTCTTGACTTTGACTTTGTTTTTTCCATTTTCAGAAAATATTGAAGATATCTTATAATTTAAAAAGGCATAATATCTCAGTAACAAAAGATAAGCCAAGGAGAGATATATTTTCCTGTTATTTTGTATAACCATAGGCAGAAGTGAAAAATTAGGTATGTTATAGCACCATTCAGTTGGTGGGACTATTACAGAAGAGTTAATAATTTTAGCCTATCTGAATATCTGATTTTAATTATGTCAGAAATTCATCTAAACTTTCTCACTATTTTTCTACTGTAATTTTGGCATTATAATTCCAAGGGAGTTAGTGGCAGGGAACAATTGAAAGGTTTGAAACACCATGACAGCATGTAAAATGAATACCATATATGGATTTTTAAAAATTAGCCTTTTTCTTTTAACGTTTAGTTTATTTTATATATACCCTTACAAGCATATATAAGGGTTTTTTTATATTTTATAATCACAACTGTATTTTCTGGTTTGTATTATAGTTGCTTGTTGCAATTTATGCTTAATATAATCATATAATAGTCTGTTCTATATAATAGAGTTAACCTAAGAACCCTGGAGAAGGGGAGAGGCTCAGGTTTCTACATTCACAGGACTGACAGTATCATATATTGAGTCATGATCAGAGCAATTTCACTTTTATAGAATCTACAAATACAGTACTCCAGTGAAGTCTATATACTGATAAGTGTGCATGGGTAGCATGTGATAAAAATTTCTGGATCTCCAAAGAAAAAATAATATTTATTATTATCAATAATTATATAATACCGTTTGATAGACGGTGTTAAGAATTTTACCAAAATTAGGGCATGATCTAGTCCTACTATAAGAACAGATCCATGCATCAAATACTGTCACAAACTTAATGGAGAATTCTTTTTCGTCCACTTTCCCACACTGAACAAATCACATAGCTGTATCAACAATGAAAATTCTCATTATATGGATGTATCAGGCATAGAATTGTGTATGGAAGGACTGGTTAATACCCAGGCACTTTTGAATGATCACAAATTCTAACAGAATTTACTAAGAGGTAAATTAGTAGCTCTACAAATATGGAAAGCAAGAAAGCCTACAGTCTTCTTCAATAAATTAGGAAATATCACTTCTATAATCAATTTAAGACCTACAAAAGAATAAGGGCATGCATCCATGTGTATGAGTGTAAAAAATGGAAGAATACTAAACAAGACCAGGGTAGTTGCAATTAAACATTATAGATTAATATATTTGATTCAATTCAGTATTTATACCTCATATTTCTGTGATAGAATCTGAATAAAATTAGTTATATTCACATTAGAAGATCAGAATATAGGCTATTCTACTTTTTTTTTAATGATATCTTTTGAAATCCAAAGCTCTATCACACAAATTTGAATTTGCATGCTGAAGTAAATTAATTTAGACTAAAAACCACAGGAACAAATCATAGGATATCCCTCACAATGAGATCAAAGGGTAACCATTAGATATATAAAATGCAATTTCACATACCCTTCTATTAAAATCTCTCTGAACTGCTCACATTACCTTTTATAATGTTTAAATTCCACACTATATTCATCAACATTCTAAATTTCAAAGTCACCAATATGAGTAGCTTTAAAAAAAGAATCTATTTTAAACTTCAGAACACAAAACTGCATGCAGAAAGTGTGTGGTTTATTTCTTACCATCTCTACTTAAAAGGAACAAGTGGCAGGTGACAAAAAAAAACTTTGCCTAGAGCGTTCTGCACATGCTACTGATTCAAGCAGACAATATAATCTAGAAAGAATAATCTACTACTCAGCAGCTTCTCATATTCCTAAATTTATTACACTGTTTAAATTGAAATATAAGATATATACTTTTTTAACATTTTAAAATTATTTTTTTAAAATTAGCATGGGTTAATTTTAGATGGGTGATAAAGTATTTAAGAATTTTGCAGAGTACATTTTTGTTGATCTTATAATTTGTTATTATAAACAGCTTTGGGGTTTTATACACACATACACAGAAACAGACTTTCCGAGAAAATACAAGTCAGATTTAATCTCTGTACGGAGATTACCAACAGTATCTATCAAAATGTCTATTTTGTTAAGATGCAGAGTTCATTCTCTAGAACTGCTGCTCCTGTGTTCCATGCCACTTTCAACTTTGAATTGTCAATTAATGCTTCAAATTCAGATATGAGGAAGTTGCATTTACTTGCTTATGAAGTCTAGACTGATATAGGAACAACTTATACTGTTTCCATCGAAAGGTTTAAAGTGAATCTCAAGTTAGGAGGAACTACCGGTATTTTTTGGCAATATAAGAGACTTCCTTCTGCCACTACATCAAGTTAAAAATAAGTCTTCAACCTGCCATGTAAAGTGCTTAAGTTGTGAGTAGTAAATCTGCTGATGAGTAAGGTTTTGTTCACATCTGTCACCTGAAATGAAGCTGCTACAGAACATTAAGAGTGAAAAATCAGTTGTTGGGAAGAATTCCATTTCACACAGCAATCGTATTGTGGAACTATCTATTAAAATGCCACCAACTAAACAATTGATTTACATGACATGCTGAGTTCTTGTTCATTAACTCTTATATCTCTTTTCAATAACGGGAAGTAATCCAGTTATTAATATTAATCCTAAAGAGGATTAAGACTCTGCCTTCTTTTTCCTAGACAGCACATAACCTGAGATAAATCCAAATTATGGAACACTATACTTTCTGAGTAACAAAGTATACATTTTTAAAGTTGTTTAAAAGGTGAGGGGAATGGGCTTGTTTCCTTTTTCTAACTGGCTGCACCAAAATATACCTTGCTACTGGTTCTGGTATAGTCCCTGGGCTGACTGGCACCTGAACACCTTTCTCCCATTCTTGTCTCCAGGGATCTGCCAGCACATAATACTCATCAGGATTCAGCTGGGAAGAATCGGGCAGCTTCATAGCAGTGATCAGGTCTGTTCTGAACACCTATAGAGACACAAAGAAAGAGAAATGACTAGACAACCCATGACATGTTGAGGCATCTTTTCAGAGATATTTCCTTATTAGATCCCTCAACACCTTCAATAATAGTAGAGCTTTTAAAGTAGTTTAAATCTTTTTAAAAACTCGGGGAGTCAAAGACATATCTGCCTTGAAAATTCTCCACGTTGAACTATATAGCACAGTCAGATCAGGAGTTGACCACATGTTTTCTGATATTTTGTATTGTGTCATAAAATATTTATGATAATTCTATGTCATAAATGTTTTACAAAATTTGCCAATTTCAATTTCATGAGAGTCATGGGTTCCAGATTTTGGATGCATTCTATAGGATAGCCTAAGGGTCCCCAACCCCCGGTCCGTGGACCGTCACCGGTCCGCAGCATGTTAGAAACTGGTCCGTGCAAACAAGAGAAGCCCCCTCCGTGGGATGCAGGCAGCATATGAAACCACGCCCTTTCCAGTCCATGGAAAAACCTCTCTCCACGGAAGCAGTCCCTGGTGCCCAAAAGGTTGGGGACCCCTGAGCTAGTCCACTTGAGATCCTTTCTTTGTTGCCCTACAATGCACTGTTTTGCCAAATTAAAAATTATGGAAACAAGAGTTTTAATAGTATATGGATAAAGTTATATGTAATACTTCTACTGTATAATTCACGGTTTCCAGAAGAACATAACAAAAGGCCTCTCATCATTAACTAACATGCCCTTTCAAATATCCAGATGTTCATCATATTACCATGCTGAACCAGAAGTAAAAAACATGTCCTTCAGATCTGTCCCGCTTTATATTAATGACCACCCCTTCATATGACCCAATCAAAAAAGATTTCCTAAATGAGTCCCCAAATAGGATACCAAACCCAAATACTGTAAATCTCTCTTTACTTAGTATAAAGGAAAGTACAGTACCTAAGTCACAGATTATTTTATTGATATCTTTTTTAAGCCAAGACCCGTATTTCCTAGTTTCAGCTAATCATGCGCCTATGGCTAATTATAAAATCTATCTACTTTATCTCCAACAGTTTAAATTCTATCGAAAAACGCATCTCAAAGGGAATGTCAGTAACAAGAAACTATCCACCATAACAGGCAAATTCTGGGTAAAAGAAATAATGAAATGGAACAGTAAATACATTTCAACAAACCATCAATATATTCTTTGGCAATTACAATCTAGTGTGAAATCTTTTTCAAAAGATCTGGGAGCATCAACCTTTTAGTACAATTATCCTAATTTAAGAATAAGATAGTCTTGCAGAAGCCAATATTTACTCAACCAACATAAATTGTTGTCAGTATTCTTTCAACATGAAGTAAACACTAGCTGTAAATAAAGCTCAAGGGATGATTGCCTTTATGTTGTAGAGATCATTTTAGCATTTAAAAAAGTACAATGAAAATTGAGCCTAAAGCCATACCATCCGCTACACATTCATTTATAGTATTCCTATATGGCATTCAGCTGATGAAAGCAATATTTGTGCCTATTTCAACTGAAATATTAATCTGTACTAGCACTATGACATTGGGAAGACGTTCTCCACTGAACGTGTTGAAGATATAGACCTGAAGAAGGTGGTACATTTCTCAGAAGCGGACAGAGCAGAAGCAAGTCACAATGCATTTCCACAAACACATATATATTTATATGTTGGCTGAGAATTCTGGAAATCCCACAGATCTCAGGCAAGACTGGCATGGACCAAACCAAAGCCCAAACCAAACCAGATACATACAAGTATTCCTCAACTTATAACAGTTCGTTTAGTGGCGATTCAGAGTTACAATGGCACTTAAAAAAATTGAACTATGACCGTTTTTCACACTTAAAATTGTTGCAGCATCCCCATGGTCACATAATCAAAATTCAGAAGCTTGGCAATAGAGATATATTTGTGACAGTTGCATGCAATCACCTTTTGCAATCTTCCAACAAGCAAAGTCAATGGGGAAACCAGATTCACTTAACAACTATGTTACTAACTTAACAACTGTAGTGATTCACTTAACAACTGTACCAAGAAAGGTCATAAAATGGGGCAAAACTCAACAAATGTCTCAGCAACAGAAAGTTTGGGCTCAATTGTGGTTGTAAGTTGAGAACTACTTGTATTATGTATAATGACTTTTCAATACAAATATTTCTATCCACAGGGATGTTTTGAATCAATATGTTTTAAAACAAGAGTCCCCAACCCCCGGTCCGTGGACCAGCACCGGACCGCAGCATACTAACAACCAGGCCGCACAAACAACTGAAGCCCCATCCACTGGCTGCAGGCAGTACATAAAACCGTGCCCCCTCTGGTCCGTGGAAAAATCGTTCTCCACAGAACCGGTCCCTGGTGCCCAAAAGATTGGGGGTCTCTGTTTTAAAAGCTACAATATCATCTACCATTCAGATGCACTGTTCTGCAGCCTTGGCTCAAAATTTTGCTTTGGACCTGAAGGAATTTAAAAGTACTGTGTGCATTGGATAATATAAGACTCAATCAGCTTACTAGGTATAATACCAGAAAAATCTAATAAGCAAAGTGTATATTTAACATTGCATGTACTAATAGCAGCGAGGATTGTATTTGCTCAGCACTGGAAGAATGAAGAAACACCACTAGACGAAGAGATAATCAAGAAGATATTGGACTGTGCTGAAATGGAGACTTACATTGAGGATCAAAGCGAAAGAAGATACAGAATATTTTCAAACATGGAATTTATTTTATCAATGGTTGGAAAAAAGGGGTAGAGACTTGTATTATTAAGCAGAAAAATTAACCCAGACAACACAATGTTTATTAAGCACTAATCAAATGTAATAGAAAATTAATAAAAATGAAAAAAAGAATCAGCTACAAAGAAGCAGAGACAGAATCCTTACTATGCCACATGTTCTAACAAGAGTACACATCTGTATCAAATGGTCCTCAACTTATGATCATTTGTTCAGTGATCATTTGAAGTTATAGAGCACTGAATGAAGGGATTTATGACTTGTCCGAGTATCAGCTGCCTCAGCGTCCTTATGGCCACATCATCAAAATTTGGGTACAAGGCAGCCTGCTCACACTTATGAACACAGTAGTACTTTAACTTTCCTCACCTACCTATCTTCTCCCCATCTATATTAACTTCCTGGATTCTGCAACCCCTGCTGCCCTTCACATCTTCTTCGGTTACTGACATCTGTTACTGACCAGCATACCCGGCCAGGCCCTTTGCAAGACAGCTGTTGGCTGCACAAAGGTTTCTTCCCAAGGTTGCACACAGCAATTTCTTATGGGGAAGATGGCCTCATATGGCCAGCTATCTTGTGTGAAGGGTCAGGACAGACACACCTCATCGGCAACAAGAGCCAAGAATACAGCAAAAGTCAATACAGGGCAGCAGAGTCCTCAGGGTGCAAGGTGGTGGGTGAGGTTGACTGCAGCTGGTTGTATTGGAATTTTCACAGGGCAGGTGTGGCTTTGTGCCACACTGCTTTGGTGGCTGCCAATTTGCAAGGTGCTGGACTAATTCTTCCTGGAGTGGTTACGGCTTTGCATAGTGGTTCAGAGGCTTCTTGCAGCCCCAGAGCCATGGCGCATCAAGCTTCTGAGTCACAATGTGGCAAGCAGTCCCAGAGCAATGTGGTTCTGGGGCTGTCTACTGCCCCAAAGCAGGTGCAGAGCAAACAAAATGGTAGAAATGGGCAGAATAGACAGTTGGGGGGAGCGGAAGGTGAGGCTTACCGAGGCTTGGATTACCGAGGCTTGGATTAATGTGGATCCTCAGTTAAAGACTGGTGAAATTAGGTTAACAATGGCAAAATGAAGTGCCATTGCTAAGCGATGTGCTCATGTGACATCACAACTACATCACTTAGCGATGTCCCACTGTGGTCATAAGTCAAGGACTACCTCAATAGTGCACTTGCATGCACTATTTCTGTCAATCTATTTTTTATCTCTTGTATGTTCAAGCAGAAACGGTAAGCATTAGAAGGAGCAGGACTATAAATGCTTCTTCCTACATAATCCTGACCACAAAATATTACAATGTAACAAGAATAATTCATGACCAGCATTCCATCCACAATCTGTGAATTAACTATCTGTTGAATGTCCTGGGTCACATGCAGATTTCACCAAGAGTTTTAAAATATGCTGGGACAGGGTGGAATAGATATTAAATAAATTTGCTACAGAGAAACTAGATCACTTCATGCAATGACAGCAAGGATCACTTATACATCAACCACTTTAGAAGAACTGAGCTCTACTTAAAAGCAAGCCGTTCAAGAATGGGGAGAGTGATACAAGAGCAGCAAAACACTCCTTATCTGGCTGAAATAACTGAAACCACATATCATGGAATTAATCTCAATGCTTCAACTGATACTGATTCATAATAAATGCTTTGAAAATGATTCTACACATTTTACAAACACTGCTGGTGGTAATGTAAATATGTTTCACACATCCTGCCTCATAAATCAATCCATCTTGCAACTCTGAATGATCTGAATCATTCCTCTTTCATTTACAAGCATTATGCATATTTTGTTTACAGACTGCTTAATTCATCTGGATTAACACCAAAATCATAAATAAAGATTTTACTGGTTAGGTTTCATCCAGAGTAAGATTATTACATCCGAACAGGAATATCTAAGTAATTTAAGATTGATTTGTCCAACTTGGTGCCTTCCAGTTGTCACTGCAATAGAATCTGCAGAGCTACCCAGGGTTGACTGGAGTCAGGCGACATCAGAATTGCATGAATAATAATCACAATAATAATTCCATTCTGGAACTTGAGTTTCTAGGACTGCAACTTCAAGAACTGGCTATAAATTCTGAAGTGCTCAGGCTGGAAAAGACTGATTTGATTCCACTTTTCCCATCACCCACAATCAAATTCAGATGGGCAGAGGCAGTAAAAATCTTCCAAATAGCAATGATTAGATAGGGTAGCTCCTTCTTCTCTAAGTTGGAGTAGGGAACACTCCCTAAAAACCATTTTTTAAATCACTCAGAAAATATGTCTGTGTGTGTGTGTGTTATGTGCATGTATATGTGTGTACAGTATGAATATGTATAAATGTGTATCCCTAGTAAAGAAAAAGATATCCAGACAGAAGTAAACGCCAGACATTCAGGACTTTGATATCTGAATTGATTTTGGCTAGCTCAGGGAAAAACCAGTGTGAGTATTTCTGCACCTGAACATTATGAAGAGTTGGCTACAAGACAAAAGAGAATTTAATGGAACATCAAGGATATAATTTCCAAGAATCACCAATCTGACTACTATTCCTGCTGTTCTGCAGATGCAATCAGCATGCCTAGAGACAATCATGTAAAATTACTATCACTAAACAGTGAATGGTACCCAACTCTTCACCTATCACTTTTAAGAACAGATGCCTAAGCTTGTTTTTCTTTTCTATTTTCATCACTTTTTTTCCTCTTTCACACTGCATCTTTTATAGATGACAGCCTAGTTTGCTGTTAATCTTATGCTGCTCTTTGGGACTCTTTCCAGCTGAAGAACAAGATAAAACACACCGATTAATTAAAGATAGAGAACTTTGCAAGTAAGATTTTGCAGTTAATCCACTGAAACAAGGCTCAATATAAATCATAGAGAATACATGCATATACATAATAAAAAGAAAAGGGGAAACTTTAATTGGAATAAGAAGAGTACAGTACAGCAACTGTATCTTATGATAGCTCTTTTTCCAGGATAAACACTCCATCAATAAATAATTTCCAATTCATTTTGATAAATAACCACCTGCCAAAACCTATAATGGCAACAGTGACCTTTATATAAGTAATCCAGAATAAAAGTTAAGAGGGGTGGATGTCAAGATCCAAAACATAATTTACTTCAGAAACATCCTGAGTAAATATTGATATTTTCTACTCTGCTACTTGAGGAACGTGACCATTTGTAATTCTTGTACCAGTTTGCATCTTACCAAATCCACTGTGAAAGGAAAAACAAATTCATATTTCCTGCTTTTCTGCAGGAAAAAAAATGCACGAGAAACATTTAACAAGACAAATGCGTCTAGTTTCACTTTGCTAAACAAAAGTTCTTATTTATCAATCTGCTGTAATGATTAGCAACATACAGAAAACACTCCTAAATAACATTTCCACTCTTTTCCAATAAATTGGGGAAGGGGGGAGAAAAATGAAAAGAAAAGAAAGAAGAGAAAAGAAAAGAAAAGAAAAAAGAAAAGAAAAATTGGGTTGGTGCTAAACCAATCCAATATTCATGGCTAAATAACTAACTTGATGCTGGCAGGGACTGTGGCAGCAGTTGAGCTCCCTGATCTCCTGGCCAGAAGAAAGGTTGCTGGGTGCCAGCTGAGATGGAGCGGAAAAGGAAAGAAAAAGAAGTATTAGGAAAAAAAGATACATCTGTATTTCAACAAGATGCCCTGATAGATATCAAAGTAATACCTCTGATGGTTTTCGATCTTTACTCTTAGAGCATGAACTCCTCTGAGGCTGCGACCTAGAGTGTTGGGACCAGGTTGATAAGCCTAGAAAACAGAAAGAAATATAGCTGAGAATGTACATGGCTCCAAATCCAGATAAGATATTTAAATCAACTTTCAGTAAGAATTTGTTTTTCATCTCATCTACATTTTAATAATGGAAATGCATACTGTTGGGTGATCCTATCCCAAACCTATTACAGTTTGGATTTTGAAAGCATGAAAATTCTACAAACACTCATTTCCCTTAAATTGCAATGCTGATTTTGGCATTAACTTAATAAGTGACAATTATTTACACAGTATCAACTCAAACAAAACTGAATAAAAAAAATTGAAAACGAACACACACACACATACACACACACACACACACACATACATAAATACATACATACATACATAAATACATACATACATACATACATACATACATACGTAAATTACAAACTAAATCAGTTTCTTGCCTGTTTCCAGGTTACATTAATTCTTCCAACTATTCTGGAATTACACTCTAAAACAGTTCCAGATTTTAATTCTTCAAAAGGTACTTTTAACTTAGCTAACTATAATCCCAGAATACAGTAGTAAATAGCAACTTTTTAAATTTCACATAAATCCTTTTCACCTTATTTTTTTATATTTCCCAATGAAAAAATGCTACCAAACTAGCTGTAATATATATCAGTGAACTATTTGAAAGGATCATATTGTATTAGGTAAGAAATATGTTATGCATTTTCAATTGTTTTTTTTCCTTTATCACAATATCACATTACCTAGATGCCTAAATCTAGAAAATAGGAGACTATGAGTTCTAGTCCTGCCTTATCCATGAAAGCCAGCTGGGTGACTTTGGGTCAGTCACATTCTCTCAGCCCAACCCACCTCACAGGGTTGTTGTGGTAGAGAAAATAGCAGGAGGAAAGAGTATTGGGGGTGTCTGTGTGTGTTAGTATGTGTGTAAAATCTGCATTTGTTTTGCATCATTCAAATAATTTTTACCTTATCACTATCCATAACTTAGCTATCTATGTGAAAACTTCATGAATGCCAAAAAAAACCCAACATTCCAGGCAAAATTGAAAAATTAATGACAGCTGAAATACTGAACAATCTTTATCATTGAGAACTCAAAAATAACAAAATAAAACAATAAAAGAACAGTAAAAACGGAAACAAGAATACTAATGCTTTGGAACTACTTTTATAAAGGAAATTAATTTACCATCTTCTTTATAGATATAATTATAAAGACATCATTTTCTTTTCATACACTACTTATTTCCCAGTTAATTAAAAGTTCTAAATCTAGAGGTTTGCTGAAAAAGGCAAAATTATAGACACTCATACTGGGGCTTTGTAACACTTGGACATGTCAATACACTGTCCTCTACAAATAGCTGGAGTAGCTACACAAACCAGAAAACACTGATGATATTGGAACTAAAAATAAAATATTTTTTCTCACAATCCAATGCCATAGGATGTATATTTGAAGAACCTATCAACCATGAATACAGTAGTCCTTGATTTACAACCACAATTAGGACCGGAATCTCAGTCATTGAGCAAAGCAGATGCCATATAACTTCTTCACCCACCAAACATAATCCCAGCAATTTTGATTGTAATCTTTAAGAAATCTCCCAGTTATTAAGCAAAAAAGCTGTCTGCCAGAAGATTTCAGCTCTGCGTGGAGCTGAAATGGTCCTGGCAGGCAGCTCCTTGGAAGTGAAAAGATTGCCTGCCAGAGGCTTTCAGCTCTGCTAGGACCTGAAATTTTTCTCTGTAGGCAACCCCTTTGCTCTCAAATGTTCCTACAACCTATTGAACGATATCCCCTACCCTTTATGCTCAGAGGAGAAATCTTTCGTGGGACTGCAGGAATGAAGCTGAAATCTTCATGAATTCCTGCAACTTAACAAAGGATTTCAGCTCCTCTTCATCCTCTCTGCTCCCAAGTTTCCCTGCTGGCTTCTCTGTCACTTTCTGAGGAAGCTGACAAGAGAAGACTGCATCACGTGATTGCGTCGGCCATGGCAACTGGTCAAAAATATGAACAGTTGTCCGAGAACAGCACAATGTTTTACAATGGCCAGAAGTGCTTTACATCTATAAAACACCCTTTCTGAAGCTGTTAACTTTGAATAGTTGTTAAAAACACAGTTGTACGTCAAGAAGTATCTATAGTTTTCAGTGAACTCTTTAACAACTGCTTGCTGAAGGACAAGCTTTGATTTCTGACATAAGCAGCACCTACTTGAACAATTTGATTTTGATGAGAGTACTACTACAGGTAGTCCTCGACTTACAATCATTTGTTTAGTGACCATTCAAAGTTACAACAGCACAGAAAAAAGTGACTTACGACTATTTTTCACATTGACGACCAATATAACATCCCCATGGTCACATGATCAAAACCCAGACACTTAGCAACTGGCATGAATTTATGATGGCGCAGTGTCTCGTGGGTCATGTGGTCACCTTTTTGTGACCTTCTGACAAGCAAACTCAATGGGAAGCCAGATTCACTTAACAAGTTTGTTACTAACTTAACAACTGTAGTGATTCTTTTAACAACTGTGGCAAAATTATAAAATGGGGCAAAACTCACTTAACTTGCTCAGCAACAGAAATTTTGGGCTCAATTATGGTCATAAGTCAAGGACTAGTTGTAAAACAGATTATCTCCCCCCAAAAATGCATTTGTTCACTGGTTAATGAAACTGAAAGTATTTCTTTCAAGAAACAACATCAAGCTCACTGAAGTTAAGGAAAATGTTAGAAGTGAATACACCTTGAGAATGAAGATCTTAAACTCCAAAGTCAGTGGAGGAAAAAACATCATGGTAATTAACACCTAGGCAATTCCAGTCATTATGTACCCAGCTGGAATAGTGAACTAGACTCAAGCAAAACTGAATGTCCTGGATAGGAAGACCAAAAAAAATACTAACAATGAATCATGCTCTTCATCCACGCCACAAAACTGACAGACTTACCAAAGAAAATACGTTGGCATGGAATGTTGCAAGTACATCAGATGGTTGAAAAAGAGAAAAAGCATAGTAAGAATATCTGAAGGACAATGAAGGAAATGCACTGAAGCTAATATATTATGATGCCTTACTGAATACTAGAGACCAAACTGACCCACAAAGAAAGGCCAAATGCAGAACAGAAAAGTGATATAGCAAGGCAAAGTATTATATGATTGGAACATAAAAAGATAGCAGCCAAAGCAGGTAACAAAAAGATTTGGCAATGGCTAAGAGCAAGAACATTGAAGAAGGACTGAGGGGCTAATTCTGCCTGCATAAGACCAAGTTTTAAGAACAAATGCATACAAAGACTGAATTGGCAAGAAAGTAACACACAGCAAATGCAGCCTCTGAAAAGAAGCTGAAGTGGGCCACTTAGTTGGTTACTGAAATTCGCACAGACTGACTACAAACAATAGAATAACAAAGCAACAACAATGGTGCATTGAAATGTCTGCAGGAAACACCATTAACAAAGAACTGGTGGGACCACAAAATAGACAAAGATAATAGAAAATGAAGAAGCTAAATTGTTCTGATATTTTAGAATTCAAACAGATAGGCACCTGCAAACATAAGACCCCAGACTTAACAATTGTCAATAAGAAAGACAAAAATATCTGGATGATGGACATGGCAGCACCTGGAGACAGCAGAAGAGAAGAGAAAGAACTGGAGAAGATAACAAAGTTTAAAGACCTGAAAACAGAAATAGAATGACTGTGACAAAATAAAGCAAAGGTATTACCAATAGGGGGTGTGATGGCTCAGTGGTTAAAAACAGCCTAGGTTTAAGACCCGAGCGCCAAGTGACTGGGTGAGTGCCTTTTCCTCCCCCAACTCCTGCCCACCTAGCAGTTTGAAAGCATGCAAATGTGAGTAGATTAATAGGTACCACTTAGGTAGGGAGATAACAGCATGCCATGCCCCTTCGGAAAATGTGTTTGGACATTGCTGGCTCCCTCAGCCAAGAAACAGAGGTGAGCACCACACTCTTACAGTCAGATACGACTGGACAGGGAAACCTTTACATTATTTCTTTTAGTACCAATAGTAATAGGCACCTTGGGTGAAATTCCAAAACAACTGGAATATCACTTGAACACCATCGGCATTAACAAATTGAATAAATTGCAAAAGGCAGCTTTATTCGGAAAAGCTTACATCCTGCAATAATATCTATAACACCATCAAACATCCATATCTGCCTATCCCAGGTCCTTGGGAAGGACTCAGTAAGCAGACAAAAATGCCAAATCCAGTCTGAACAACTGGCTGACTGTGTGAAAGATCATACAATACAGGTAATCATCCAGATACGAGCGTTTATTTAGTGAGATTTCACAAAAACGAGGTTATTCAGAAAGGGTACTTACATTAGAAATTCAAAATTGCGATCAAAAACAGCCTCTGTAGCCATGTGACTTGCATTCAGCCATTTTAACTCTGTGACTTGCCTGGGCCTGTTCAGGCCTATGAGAAGCCAGAAGTGGGGGTTGTTTTGTGTGTGTGCCTGGTCACATGGCCAAACAAGATCCGGTGATTTTTGTAGCCGGCATCGACCATTTGTTTTTGTTTTCCTGGAGTTGCGTGGAAGATCTGCTGCTTGCTGGGCTTGAGGACTATGTTACTGTAGAGAGCTAGAATTACTTCTGTAAGTATTTTAAAATATTCTTTTTTGTTACTTTATAGCAGGGATTTTCAACTGGTGGTCTGCTGGTGGAGATTCAGCCAGAGCTGCGTGAGGTATTGCCTCCCTGGGTCCTGCGGAGAGCCCAGGATCAGTGCGCGCAGCTCCAACTGATTGGGGGTGGCAGGCAGCCTCACGCAGCTTCAGGCAGAGATTCAGCTGGAGCTGTGCGAGGCATTGCCTGGGTCCTGTGAGAGGGAGAGAAGAGAGGATATAAAGGGGGTGAGAGAAGAGAGGATATAAAGGGGGGTGAGAGAAGAGAGGATATACAGGGGTGAGAGAAGAAAGGATATTAAAGGGGGTGAGAG